AGCTGGGGATCACAGCAATCTGGTACAGTGCGGGACAGGGGGGAATGGGGAGGGGGACCAGTCTAAGGTCACCTTGCATATTTTCTGTAAAGGTAAACACGGGCTGGTGGATGGCTCAAATCGCTGGAGGCTGGGGGTAGAAAGCCACTAGAGATGCAAGTACAAAAGCCATGGGAGTATGAGGAGGAGCCTGAGCCACAGCTACTGATGTCCGCAGTCAGATCGGGAGCCAGAGCTTTGCTGGTGGAATCCGTCATGTGGGGAGGTTTTCAACACTGCTCCTGTGTGAATTCAGGCTGAAGTCACTATGTCACGTACCTGATTGGAAACTGAAATAACGAGGTCGGCCTCACTTGTGTCACTAGCCCTGACCCCACAGGAAGTGGAACAGTGGGTGTCTAGGGACCAGGGGGACAAGAGCGCCAGCAGATGTTGTTTGCAGCTGTTGCAGTTGGAGACTTTGGAAGACTGATGAACCTCCGATTCAGGATCAGTAGTGATATGCAGAGCTGGTATGGTAGGTCGCCAGGTGTGTACCAGAGCAAGACAGGAAGCTGGGATGGGAGACAGGAGCAATGTCATAGGAATAGCCGGGGTCATCAACGGGCGGACAGCGAGGTACCAAATCATAAGCAAGCCAAAATCAGGAGCAGAGCTGAAGTCAGGAACAAGTATCAAGCAGGAGATAATCAGAGTCAGGTCAGGAACAAGCCGGGTCAGCAACAAGGAAATCACACAGGAAATGAGCAGGAAACAGGGAACAGCTGAAGACCAGTCAGCACTCAGCACAGGCAGAGGCACTTTTTAAATAGTCTGTCTGGCGCCAATCTTCACCATGCGTGTGCACGTCCGTGATCGTGCATTTCTGGTCACATGCGCACGTCTATTCACCAGCTGTCTCACGGGAATTCCCTTATACACTTGACAAGCCTGAGTTCACACAGAAGCTGTGTGGGAAACCACAGACAGGAATCTCACCGCATTCCTGTTCAAATTGCATGCAATTCTTTGAAGTGCGATTTGAGCCCACTCATTTAGGTATCAGTTTCAGGTATTGGGAGCATTTGCATGAGTACTTGTGCAAGTACTTGGTATCGGCACTGATATCAGTATTGGTGCAACCATAATTTTTATTATTTTCTTTATTCTTTGGTATTGATGCTGTGATTGGCTGCACACACCAGAGGCCAGGCACATCCACAATTCCTTCACTTTGACAGCATAAACTTCCACCTCCCAGGCTCTCAGCAGCCAGGTATTTTTTTTAATATTTATTTCATTATAATTCATTATATTTAGAGCACTGAAGGCATAGCCTCAGGAGGAAAATCTAAGGCTATAGGTCCACAATGCAGGGGAAAGGGCAGCAAATGGACATGCAAAATCCTATAGCCAGAGGAAAGAGCAGACATCAACAAAAATTTAGTGTAGAATTCAAACCAGGACCTTCCAAAATAAATGACAGACAGATCTAAAAAAAGGGGTAGAGGTGTAACGGCATGAAGGTAGTGGGTGCTGAGCCTTCCTCCCGTTCGCCATCTTTTCCCTCCACCATTTATTCCTCCCTCAAATCCTCCTCCTCATCTGCCTTCATCTCCTTCATCTCCTCTACCTCCTCCATCTCCTTCAACTCCTCCTCCCTATACTCCTCCTCCTCTTCCTCCATAACCTCTTCCATCTCCACCTCCAGCTCCTATGTGATTTTTGCATAAGGAGAGGCTTTAGGGAATCAAGATGGAGAGAATAAGGAGGATTGTTAACCGAATCATACGTTGTGAAGCATTTTTGAAAACTGCCCTCTTCCTCCAGTTTATGACATAGACAATCCTTTAAGACTTATATACATATATAGAATAGGCCAGACTCTATGGACCACTTTGGTCTTTTCTCTCCTTCTCTATCATCATTCTTCTGTTTCTATAAAGCCTTGGTTGTCAATGTTAGGCATTGACTGCAATCAGAAGAGCAATATGTAGCTGAAAGAACTGACACACCTGGAATTGTCAGATTCTTCTTGTTTTTTCTCCCTGACTGCAACTCTGTAATATGGGTCTAGTGGGGGCATTTGTGTGTTTACATAAATCATTTTGATGTATTTACCAATAAAAGTATATTGTAGGTTCTAGCGGGAGGGGTGTTTTTGAATGCAAGCTCTTGCATTTACATTTTCTTTAAGTTTTGGATAAATAGAGAAGGATTAGTGACCCCCTAATAGGTTTTACTGCTGATGTCCCCACTGGGGAGACTCGTTGCTTCTTTTTGTACTGGTTACCGTTGTCACAAAGACAAAAAGTGATGAAAAAAAGGCAAATGTTACCAAAATAAGAGTTGAGGGTTGAAATGATAACTCACTTTGTATAGATTTCCTCTCATTTTCTGTTGCATCTAAGGGTGAGGAAGTCATAGGTACTCTCTTGGCATAGACAAAGACCACAATATATAAACTGGAAAATTATAACATGTCATTGGTTATACATACACTGTAAATGTTCTATTAATACACGTTTTAGCAAAATATTTACAAAACATTTACCCAGCATATACATATGTGTTCAATTGAATCCAATTAGAAAAATGTGTGACTCTTGGGTAGAAGAACAAAGCTTGGGATGCACCTCATTGATGCCAATCAATATGCTCATTCAAAGATTCTGTCTTCAGCTCAGTCCTTGCCGTTTGGCCATGCTCCTCTGGGGAGCATAATGATTGGTATCAATGAGGGCGTCCCAAGCTTTGTACTGTGGTGTATGTGTAGAGCGGGATCTCTTCTTTTTCGGACCAGCAACTGTTGTGGAAGTTAAGCTGACCATACACCCACCCACACACTGCCAGGATCATGTAGCAATCTTGGGTGAAACATGCATGAATCTTGTTTGAAAACAATTGCGCTGAATATAACCCTCCCTGCTGACTTGGTTGAGTGCTTACAAGCACAGTTCTCACATTGTTGGATGTCCCTTTCTATATATTTCCTGGGAATTAAACTCACTAACTCCTATTCCACTTTATTTTCAGCCAATTAGTACCCTTTGTTGGGTTCCTTGACCGCCCTTCTTAATTTGTTGCACTTTCCTTTTCCATCATGGATAGGCCAGATACATGCTGTCTTGCCCAAGACCCTTTACTATTTTCGCACTTTACCCTCCATTCGTCTCTCACAGAATAGGATTGTCTGCTTCCTATGGGCTCATAAACACCCTATAGTCTCCAGGTCTACTTTTTTTTTTTTGTATTAACAATTTTTATTGGTTTTCATGAAATACAAAAACAGTATATTTCAAAAGGTTAAGAAGAGAAAATAAACATAACAGAAAGATACATCGATGGCAAAATTAAATAGTGACAGGACCAGCGGAGTCATAAATATCAATGTAAAGGATATCAGGGCCTTGCAACGTGGACCGGCATAGAAGAGGTGAAAGTATCCCATGGGAGCCAAATCATCTCAAATACAGCAAACGAACAACTATGTAGTGCAGTCAAATATTCCATCTGTCTCACATCAGCAATGAGTTTGTACAAAATTGACATTGAAGGAGGAGTAGAGGATAACCAACACATAGGAATGCTTCTCCTGGCCGCGGTCAGCACATGGACAGCGAGTTTCCTGGATAATTTAGGTAATCCTGGGAATGGTAGACCCAGTAAAAAATGTAAGGGATCAAATGGGAGAGAGACATGCAGCAATGAATTCAACAAGGAAAGAACATCCTGCCAGAAAGGGGTAATGGAGCTGCATGTCCAAAAAAAATATGATAGAGAGAACCATGGTCTCTACTACAGCGCCAGCAATCAGGAGAAGCACTCGGATTATAAGCATGCAGAACCTCAGGTGTTTTATACCATAACATCATAATCTTGTAAATATTTTCCTTAAAAACCACACAGACAGAAGATCTAGATGCATTTTCCCAAATTTTCTTCCATGTTAATAAATCAATGTCACGTTGTATGAATTGAGACCACCTACGCATGTAAAGGTGAGTATCATTGGATAAGGAGGGGGCTTCCATAAGAAGTTTATAAGTATTAGAGATTATACCCCTATGGTGGGGACCCTGCATACATAAACTTTCAAAGGGAGTAGGTTTCCCCAGAGTCAATGAGGGAGATAAAGTGGAAAAAAAGTGGCGTATTTGAAGATAAATATATAGGTGTTGAGGAGGTAAAAGGGCTTTTTTCTGGAGGACTGGGAATGAGTGTAACTTACGAGTCACCGGATGTACCAAGTGACGCAGTTGAAAAAGGTTAGCTACAACCCAATGCGACATCCGGGACATGGCCATATTGTCTGGGAGATTAGGGTTATAGAGGACATTTGTCAGTGGGGAGCAATCAGAGGCCAATGTAAATTTAGCCCTACATTTCTGCCAAATAGTCAGAGAAAAGTACATAGGTCCCAGAAATAAATGGCGAAAGGAGGAGACATCCACTGCTGAGGTCGACCAAAGGAGAGAGCATGGATGAGCTGGGGACAATTGCAAAGATTCGATCTCAGTCCATGTGTTGGGAGGATGATGGGAAGACCATGACATGAGAAAACGAAGATGAGTTGCGTAGTAATATGTTATAATATCCGGGGCCCCCAAGCCCCCCCTAGATCTTGGGGAAAGCAAAACGGAACGTGCAATCCTGTGCCGCCTATTGTGCCAAATAAAATGCAGGAAAGATTTCTGAAGAGAGTGAAGTTTGGACATAGGAATGGGAACGGGGAGGGTCGCAAACAGGTACAAAAGTTTAGGCAACACTGTCATTTTTAATACGTTAATGCGTCCTAGGAAAGAAATGGGCAAGGCATCCCATCGTTTCAGAGAGCGAGAAATTGCTATGAATAGTGGAGGGAAATTGGCCTCGTATATGGATTGGTAAGAGGAAGTAAGATTAGTACCTAAATATTTTAAAGAATGGGTACACCACCGATAGGGAAAGGCTTCCTGAAGCAAGGATAATGTGACAGGTGGGACGTGAATTGGGAGTGCCTCAGTTTTAGACGTATTAACTTTGTAACCTGAAATAGCCCCAAATCGTTTCAAGATCTGATGCAAAATCGGTAAAGAAGTATAGGGACTCGTGAGTGTGAGGAGGATGTCGTCTGCAAACAGCGATAATTTGTACTCATGGGTATGGGAATGTATCCCGCGAATATCCGGATTCGACCTAATGGCTGTGGCCAGTGGCTCCAGGCAAAGAATAAACAGCAGAGGGGAGAGTGGACAACCCTGACGTGTGCCATTTGACATCTGAAAAGGGAGTGAAAGAAAAGATGCTAACCTGACCTGCGAAAATGGGGAAGAATAAAGGGCCTTCAAGGCTGCTACAAATGGACCCCGGAAACCAAACTTCTCCAAAACCAGAAACATGTAGGGCCAGCTTAACCGGTCGAAAGCTTTTTGAGCGTCCAAGCTCAGCAACACAGCAGGGGTGGAGGATCGATTAACCAGATCAACCAGATCAATAGTTCTCCTGGTGTTATCCGCAGCATGTCTGGAAGGCACAAAGCCCACTTGGTCCCTATGTATGAGTTTGGAAATAATTCCGGACAGTCGGTTGGCTAAAATTTTTGTGAAAATCTTGTAATCGGAATTAAGTAGGGCAATCGGACGGTAGTTGTCTACAATAGAGGGATCCTTATCGGGTTTAGGGATAACCGAGATATAGGCTCGTGAAAATTCAGTCTGGGGTGTGACCCCCTTAAAAAGATCTCTGTAAAGAGAAAGGAGATGGGGAGCCAGGATACCAATAAAGGATTTATAATAAGTGTAGGGTAAACCATCCGGACCCGGGGCCTTACGAGAAGGGAGATGTTTAATTGTATCAAGTAATTCCTCTATCGTAATGTCGGCATTAAGAATGGCAATGTCTGAGGGTGATAGTCTCGAAAATGACAAGGAATCAAAAAAATTGTCAAAGGATAACTGTGTGAGAGGCGGGTGGAGGTCTGGGATCAAACAGTTATACAGTTTCTCATAGTAGGAGCCAAAAAGTGTTGCCATGACCTGAGGATCATAGGTAGGACTGCCGTTTGGTTGGATTAAAAGATCAGGCATCGTGGAAGGAGACTGAGCTTTAAGTTGATTGACTAACATACGATGGGGTTTGTTGGAAAATTCATAAAATTTCTGTTTAACCCACAGCAGGGATTGTGCAGCCTTACTGGAGTCGAGGGCTTTAATTCGGTCACGTAAAAATGTTACCTTCCGGAGCCCAGAAATGGAAGGCTTGGCCATCAACCGTCGTTCCGCCGAAAATAGTTGATGTACAAGAGAGGCCTTAGCACGTGCCGCAGATTTCTTTAAACGAGAACCCATAGAAATACAGAGTCCCCGAAATACCGCCTTATGGGCCTCCCATAAAATAGAGGAAGAGGCTACGGAGCCAACATTGAGGGTAAAATAGGTATCAAGTCCCCGAGACAATTCATCCCTAAGATGATCTGTGGAGAGGAAGGTCTCATTAAGGCGCCAATGACATGGTTTGGGTAGAGCGGGAGGAAAGAAAAGGTTTAAAGTCAGAGAGGCGTGGTCAGACCAGGTAATGGGGTTAATTTCAGAAGAGACCAAGAGTGAAAGCAATGGGGCAGAGATGAAAAAATGATCTAAGCGGGAGAAGCTACGGTGAGGGGTGGAGTAGAAAGTAAATTGTTTATGGGGGGGTGTTTAATCCGCCAAGCATCGAAGAGACGATGCTCCCTTATCAGTCTACGAAAGGATTTTGAAGCGGAGCATTGCCGCTTTGAGGGTGTGGACTCAAAAAGAACTTTCCTGTCCTTATATGGGGGGATAAAATCAAATTAAAATCACCCCCAACAATCACATGTGAAGTGGAAAAAGAGTCTAAAGCGGCGAGTGTTTGGGAAAGAAATTGCAATTGACCCGTATTGGGGGCGTATAAATTCAGCAGAACAAGGGGAGTGTTACCCAGCATACATTCCAGAATAATGAAACAACCTTTTTGGTCAACTCTGGAGGAAACAATCCGAAGGGAGCAGTGCGACCCAATCAAAACTGCCACCCCAGCCTTCCCGGAGGGATCAAAGGCCGAATAGGCTTGGGGAAAAAATCTTGAGGCAAAACGAAAGGAGCCAGCTGATTTGAAATGGGTCTCTTGAACAAAAATAATGTCTGCTCCTGAGGATCGAAATTCCCTCAAAGCCATCCACCTTTTTTGAATGGAGTTGAGGCCCTTGACATTATACGACATAAACCGCAAAGCCATTATAAAATAACAAAAATTGAAGCAAATGTGTTAGCCTAAAAAAGAAATGAAATACCATCGATGCAATAGAAAAAAAAAAAAAAAAAAAACAATAAAGTAACACAGAAAGGTGTAAACATAGAAATTGACATAAGTATCCATGAGGATATAAACTCGGGAACAACCAATTGGCCCAAGTCGTCTAGGCCTATGGCTAGACAAATTCGGGAGCAGCACGACAACCAAGACATCAGAAAAATCGTCATGCCCGGCCAGATAAAACAGAAGTGAGAAAATGCACCCAACAATGGTTTGGCCGGACAGAAAAGAGAAACCCAAAAAAAAAAAAATATTATGTAAAAAAAAAAAAAAACCCAGGAAGGAAGGATCATCACCGGAAACACATCGGAAGGGCACCCCAGAGAATCATCATACAGATGGATTGATCTACTGAGGGTGACGTGGACGCTGTGGGGTACGTGTGAGTCTCTTCCGACCTCCGCGGACTGGAGTCCAGATCTTGTTGGGGGTGGCGGATGGACGAGACGGAGTTGGTGGCAGAGGGGACACATCTTCAGGCAAAGGTGGAAGTCCCAGGCGCTTTAAGAAGGAATCCACCTCTTGAAGATCACGAAGCACGACTTGGGAATTATCCCTAGTCACGACCAACCGGAAAGGAAACCCCCATCGGTAAAGGACATGATGTTGTTGGAGGTGTGTGGTGAGCGGCTTCAGGGCTCGTCTCTTGGCCAAGGTAGTCGGAGACAAATCGCAGAAGAGTTGGAGTCTGTCACCTTTAAATTCCAGAGATGATTTGTGGCGAGCAGCTGATAATAAGGCTTCTTTGCTCTAAAAAAAAGTGGAAGCGAACTATGACGTCGCGTGGTCTGGTGCCCTCGACAGGTTTTGGGCCCAGTGAGCGATGAGCCCTATCCATTCGCCAATCCGTTTCCGGAACCAATGGAGCAGTTGCGCTAAAGAGGGACAGAAGGTGACGGTGCAATTGCGCATCAGCGATAGATTCGGACATACCGCGTATACGGATGTTTTGGCGCCGTTCCCGGTTTTCTAAATCCTCTTGCTGGAGTTGCATTTGGGACATGGAATGCTTCAAATATGCGTTATCCTCTTCCAAAACATGAACGTATTGCACCAAATCATCAAACTCAGTCTCCAATTTATCCGTGCGGTCTCCAATCTGAGTTATTTCCCCTCTGAGATCTAATGCCAGCTTTCCAATTTCAGCGGATATGGATGCGGTAATATTGCGCAGAAAAATTTGCAACTTGTCATCTAGCGCTGAAAGTGTGAGGGAAGGAGACGGTATGGTTTGCTGAGATATCTGGGTGGAGGGAGGATGATTTCCCGATGCAGAGTATTCTGCTGCCCCCCCAGTTATATGCTGGGAATCCCCAGTTATATTATGGGGATCAGAGTCCTCCATCTGGGGCTGAGTCAGGGCAGAGGCAGGCATGGAAGCTGACAGGCATGAAGGTGCAGTACCATCCGTGACCACCGGGGGGCCGGGATCTCTCCCTGGGTTCCTGGGCATACTGGAGGCCGGGGATTGCGGCCTGGACAGGAACCGCCGGAGCGGCGAGGGCCGCGAATCCGGTGGCTGCGGGGAGGGGGGCTTCCAGCGCCCTATCTTCCCCATACAGGTTTCTCCCTGGAGCCGGGCCGGGTGCCAAGTGGATGGGACTCACCCTTATTAGCAGGGAAGCAGTGGCGTGTAGCAGGTGAGTCCGCGCTGGCCGGGGATGAGCGGAGCTCAGCTAAAATGCAGCCGCCATCGTCCCTGGCCGCGCATGCGCCCTCCAGGTCTACTTTATATACCCAAAAACTACAAGGCGGTTTGGGAGTCCCTAATGTTTCCAAATCTTGTTTGGCAGCACAAATTTCCCAATCATCCTTGCTCCATGCTATATCTGATATCCCGCTATGGGTACTCCTAGAATTGTCCCCCAATTTATTTGCATGCCTTGCTATGGCTTTCCCATAAATTGCGCTGCTTGACATTAAGCCCTATCATGCTTCACAGTCTGCAGACGTGGGACTCCTTTATGTATTCAGGCAACCCGATGTCCCTTTTTTGCATTTCTGCCGATTCCTCAAAATCCCCTTTTCCCCCCAGGGTTAGACCATCCTCACTCCATCTCTTGGTGGACCACACACGGTTTTATGAGTGCTTAGTTTCTTAACCACCCAATCATTCCCATCTTGGGAAGCCCTCCAAGAGACACTGTAAGATCTCACAAAGGGAACACTACCATTATTTGAAATTGTGACATTGAATTTCGTCTCTTCTTCGCACTTTAACACACCCAGATGGCAAGACACCTTTTGAGCACGCTTGCCAGTGCTCGCCGGGTATCCTGGTCTCATCTCAACACTTTTCTCCTCTCTTAACAGTAGGACTCCTTAATATCCCTTTCTTTGTGGCTCAGTGGGAGCGTGATCTTGGTTCATCTATTGAGGGGGAGGACTAGAGCAAGGCCTGGAAAATGGTGGCAAAATGCTCCTTTAACAGCACTATTCTTGAGGTTGCCTATAAAGTTCTCCTGTGGTGGAACTGGGTCCCGACTAGGATTGCTCATGCTTATCCAGGCAGCAGTGACAGGTGTTTGGGAAATTGCAATTAGCGTGGGGACTTTTTTGGTGGTCATGGCCTCGACTGTTTTTGGGTTAGGGTTCTTTTCCTGCGGCAGACTTTATTTCATGTGACAGTACACAAGGATGCCAGTTTGGCTCCTACACTGCCCTATTCTGGGCCTTTTTGCACCCCAGCAGAAATTGGCTTCCTATCTTTTTATCTCTACCAAACATACTTAGTTTTCGTTCTTCCTCTGTCTTTCTAGTTGATACTTGTCATCAGAGATTGCCACCCCTTAGAGGACAGCTTGGCAATGATAGTGATATTTACTTTGACCTTCCTACTAGTTATCCTTGGTTCTTGTTAGAACTCTGCTGATTCAACATTATAAATTGCCTACTTGTACTTGTTTTTACATGTGACTGTCCAGCTCGGCCTTTGTGTGGATGAACCATGAGCTTGTCATGTTTGCTCTGAAAATTCAATAAATATATTGAAACTGAAATCAGTGAAGCAAAAAATTAATTGAATACTACAATACCCACCCTTTTCACTTTTCACTAAATGTTTACTCTAATCTAATAGGATTACTTTGAGTACACAAATATTTTGTATTTGCAAAAATCCGAAGTGCTCTGCTCAAGCTAAAAACACATCCTATTGGTGGACCGCTCATTCAAGCAATCAATTGGAGCCCATGGTAGTTTATTGAATTATATAAAAAGTGTACACACTGACTGTTACTTTTTAGTAATACGTTTAAAGTAATATCTAAAACAATCCATCATTTCCTGATTTCTTAAACTATAAATAATTGGATTAAAAAAAGGAGTCGCAACAGTGTATAACAAAGAGGACAACTTGTTTATCTTCTTCATTTGTTGAGACGGAACCAAATAAGTAACACATATTGAAACACCGTACAAACAAACAGAAGCTAGATGGGAGCTGCATGTTGAGAAGGTTTTTCGTCTTCCAGCCCATGAGGAGATTCTCAGGATGGTGGAAAATATGGAGATATAGCTGACTATAATCAAGACAAAAGGGATGACACAAAGAAAGAGGGTTACGAAGATGACTTCTATATCCATCAGAGATGTGTCTGAAGTAGAGAGCTGCCGAAGTGGATCTAGATCACAAAAATAATGATCAATAGTATTTGAACCACAGAACTGTAGGTGGCAGATCGTAATTACCAACGTCACCATCACTGTAAATCCAACCACCCAAGCCCAAGCTACCAGATGGTTGCGAGTGTTGTTGTTCATAAGGGAAGAGTATCTCAGAGGGTTGCAAATGGCCAAATTCCTGTCGTATGCCATAACGGTTAAGAGAAGAAATTCTATACTACCGGTTGAGGATGCCAGGTAGTATTGGATGATACAGCCATAGAATGACATGAAACCTCCATTCAGCCATACAATGTACAGCATGTTAGGTAAGATTGTGGTGGTAATAAATACTTCACAGGCAGAAAGGTTGCTAAGAAAGAAATACATTGGAGAATGGAGTCTTGGACTGGTAGATATCAAGGTTATAATTAACATATTCCCTGTTACTGTGGCCATAAACACGAAGAGGAGAAACACAAAAATAACATTACTTATGTGTTGGAGATGACCGAAACCTGCAAGAAATATCTCTGTCACCATTGTTTTGTTCTGTCCACATGTGGTCTGTAAGAAAATATACAGGCAGTAAACATTAGTATGTAGAACACAGGTTAGAAAATAAACATCTGTTAATGTTGATAGACAAATGCTACAAAGCAGATTATTAAAGAATGACACAAATATTGATAAGAATGAGTCCAGAGACGGGCGAACAAAAATAGTGATAGGTCTGTGGCAGGGGCGGACTGACAACTCACGGGGCCCCCGGGCAATAGGGGATCATGGGACCCCTGTGTCCTTGCCCAAACTCAAAAAAGCCTATGAAAAAGGTACCAGGGGCATCTCATGGGGCCCCCTACTGACCCCAGGCACTCGGGCAGTGCCCGAGTTTCCAAATGGTCAGTCCGCCCCTGGTCTGGGGGATAAAACATAGGAAAGATGTCAGGAACTTAAAGTGGTTTCAAAGGCTGAGGGTTTTTTACCTTCATGCAATCTATGCATAAAGGTAAAGAACCTTCAGTGTGCAGCTCCCCCAAACAGCCACCTTAATACTCACCTGAGCCCCTCTCGATCCAGCGATGTGCATGGGAGCCTCAGCTGTCCTGAGTCTCTCCTCATTGGTTGAAACAGTCAGTGAGCCAATGAGGAGAGAGAGAGGGGGGTGGGGGTGGGGGTGCGAGCCACAGATCTATGTGTCTTCTGGAAGCATAGAGCAGGGCTTGGTAGCAATCATGCACTAGTGCCCCCATAGCAAGCAGCTCTCTATTGGGGGCAATGGTCAAGGGGGGAACCATTGGTGGACCCAAGAAAAGGAAGATTGAGTTACTCTGTGTAAAACCATTACACACAGCAGGTAAGCATGATGTGTTTTTTATTATTATTATTATTTTATTTGCAAACAAACCTTTAGAATCACTATGTACTGAAGTTAAGAAGGGAAAAAGGACACATAATCGAAACCTTTAAATACATCACAGGGGTGAATAGGGTTCAGGAGATCTGTATGTTTAATATGAAGCTAAGATGAAGAACACGGGAACATGACAAGAACAGACAAAAAAGGAATAAAGTTTAAAGAAAATTATACAGTACATATATACAGTATATACAGTATATATATATATATATATATATATATCTATCAGACACAATTGGACACTTGGTCTTTTTTCTGCTGTCACTCTTCTCTGTAGAATGAAAGGGATATTAAAGGCTTTGTTGTGTTTGCCACATAAGGATGGTCATTAATATATTCCAAAAATATCTCTTATATCTCCCACTCACCTTTAACTCTCGTTATTTTATTGTTCTTCCTAGTTAACATTTAGGGATATATAATGTACCCAAGAGCAGAACAGAAATATATTACAGCTTACCAGTACTTCTGTGGTGGTTCCATTAGTTTTTTTTCAGGCTAAGTACATTTTCAGCAAACACAGAGAAATACCCAATGATCATGCCAGCAATTCAGTGACATTGACACTTCTTGTTAGCTGAGCTAAAATCCCAACCAAGTTTACTTTCTATCTTCTATCTTCAAGCTGCATTCAGTGAACCACACTTCCCACCATCACCCATGTAATGTAGATGAAGAGAAAAGTATCTGTTTTTAGTCCACATTATGGAAGAAACTTAGGGTGGTGTTGCAGCTCCATGGTAGATACAGTACAGTGAGTGAGCATTGTCACCCCAGAGCAGGAGCAGTAGATGGATTGAATGTCAGCGGATTCAGCAGGGACCAGCAGATTCAATCCATCTATGGACAGACTAGTGGATGGATTGACTGCGGTACAGCTAGCCAATTTAATTTTTTTCCATGTCACTGCTGAATTTATAGCCACCAGGAGTGATCATTGTGTTCTGCCAGTGGGGAGTCTTCCCAGTACAAAGAGGGAGGGGATTGAATAATTTTCTTTCTTTTCACCTGTAGCAGTCCGGGTGCAACAGTCAGCGGGGTCAAATTGTGGTCAGAGCCTAGAGGTTCTGCAGATCAGCACTCTAAATACTTACCCGGCACTAGAACTTTGGAAAGTTCCTGAAGCAGTGGGTGGAGGTAATGAGTAATTGATCTGAACTTTTTTGAGAGATCCTGTCCAATCCCCAACAGGAGGCTTGGCATGGGGACAGGGCAGCCCTTAAAAGTTACATAGCCTGCTCAGCAGCAGGAGAGCTTTGCTGGAAGATGGGGAAGTGAGGCTGCAGAGCAGGAACCCGGAAGGAAGCCCAGATGAGAAGGGGCTCACCTACAGGCAGGGAAGCTTGGAAAGAGGAAAGCTCAGGACTTCACCAGCCCCAGAAGGAGGACTACCTGTGCAGCATGGAAGGAGCAGCCCAGCTAGAAGACCTGGTAGCAGCCACTGACCTATCAGCAGCATAGGAGAAGGACTGAGTGAGTAAACCGGAACTCCCTGGGCCAGTAAGGAAAAGGAGCACTCTGGAGGGAAACTGGATTAGCTACTACCCAGGACTGTCTTCTCTCTGGGCTCTGGATCCCATGCCCAGGAATTCACCCAGAACAGCTGGATTAGGAGAATCTGGGGTCTGGGGTGGTACTACAGGAGATGCTGGCTAGATCTCCAGAAGAGAACTCTTTGCTGTAAAGACTTGTATGTAGTTACAGGAAAGTTTGTCCCCTGTTGCCATTACCCTTGGGCAACTCGTACATCCCTTACCCCATGCAAGTTCTAATTCCCCTAATAAAATCCCCAAAAAAACAAGCTCAATAACTGGTTATTGTCTCCTGGATGCAAGTCTATGTGGAAAATGTATGTTGCCTGGCTGTGCAGGACTACATGGGGACCCAAAACTCTAGCAATTCCTAAGGGGGTAGTGCTACAATTGTATAATCTACGGACAGCTTTACTGGCAGAATCACCAACTGAAAGAATAGGATAAAAAAGTCTAAAAAAAGAAAACAAATGCAGCCACTGCATTCAAGGACTGCTAAGCTGCATTATATCACTGCTTTGGTCTTGGGTTTAGCTATACTATATCTACTCCCTTTACATACTTTTTTCAGTTTTCTATGGCTCATTAGAGATGGCTCTCTCTTAATCTTTCATAATGTAGCTTAAAGTGATACTAAACAGACACTGTTTAATTTACATTATCCCTTCTTCCTCTGTCTGTGGATGATGACTCTCCAATTATTTTAATAAAAATAAATCTAAGGATCTTTTTTTTCTAATTGATATACAGCTGTCACATGACCCAGCTCATTCCCAACCTGTCTGCAGGGAAACAGTGGAAGGAGGAGCTTTTAGTCCTCTGCTGCTGGTTACAATTCAAATAAAAAAAAAAAGAAAATCAGCCTTTGGGATAGAGTAAAACTAAATAATTAATATCAATAAACTGTTTACAATTGTCAAACAATAACATGGTGTGGGAGGATTTCTGCCAGTCACAGGCTGTGTCAGTTGCCTCTAGCCTGTGTCTTAGAATAATAGGTGAAGCCTCCTTCAATCAACATTTATTATCTCACCACCCCTTGTGTTTATCAGGTTAGTGGGCATAGAGGAGGAGGGAAGGAGGGAGTGGGCTGTCATTTACCACTGTGCATACGCCCAAATGTGTGACTTTTATAGTCACATGGGCTGCTCAGATGTGATAGGGAGGAAATTTTTTTTTTTTTAAGTCCGCAAACATGCAACTATAACAAAAAAACCCGTAAGTGTTCACAAAAAAAGTGCAAGTGCAAAACACCACACGAAAAAGTGCACTTAGGGGTGTGCTGTGTCCTACCCCTAAAGGGGCTTGGACCGCTTACCCTGATCCCCCGGGGCACGAAGCTCCTGACGGGGACAAGGTTCCCAATTGGTCCTCCTGGCCAAAAGGCCTGGTGGACCACCGTTCCCTATGCCCAGCCGAAGCCGGACATCTAGTACTAGGCAAGGGGACTCTCCCGAAGAAGAGTCCCCTAGGGATCAGGGGAGGAAGGAACCGTAGGGCCACACATCCTCCCCCTAGACTTCAGGGTAGGCCCGAGAACCCACACCCTCCATCCGTGAAAAACACACACATAAGAGCAAAAAAGTGACAAACGTGGGAGTGCATAATAAATAAAGATAAAGAAAAAATAAAAAAGTGGTTCCGTGCCGAATTGTGCACAGACCAGGCCCTGAGGCCTGTAGCAAAAATTGCCCTGGTCCTAGCCAAAAGGCCTGGTCCTTAGGGCGCTGTGCAAAAAGAGGTGAAAAACAGTGGCCATGTGTCATCTTCACACCGTGGGGTCCCACACCCAAGTGTTACTAGTGACACCCCTGAGAGCGTCTTCCCCAGGGGGCACTGAGTTTGCGGACTTTTTGCGCCCCCAGCCCCAGGCCAGACCAAGGTAGATCCGTCCAAATCAGGAGGTACTGGGTCTTTCCAGCTTTCCCAGAGGAATTACTCCCAAGGTCCCAGAGCGTATCGTGGCGCCCCCTGGTTTCTGTCCCACCAGTCCAGCCTTCCGGACCCCCATCATACCAGTGAGGGTACTATACAACAACCATCCCCGCAAAGCTAGAATGGTCGGGAGCACCCCCACTGGACACTGATAAGAACAGATACTACAGTTGATCTTAGCCAAAAGGCCGAGAAGTGATAGGGAGGAAATGCTCAGGATAGGAATACTGTGAAAACTGAGCATGTGCAGAGCTGCCAACACTACTAAGGAAAACCCCAACTCAAGTGGGAATATGGACAGGATGGGGAGACAGAGAACAGCAGGATCAACCAGGTTTTTTTTTTTTGCAGAATACAGAAAATGAATCCAGTGTGTAAGTATGCACAGCATGTAATACAGCATGTATTAATAGGTTTTAATGATGTGGGTTTAATGACACTTTAATTGTATAAAGTTAACATTTTTAGGTTTATGTCAACACAGTATAAAAATACATTTGCATAGATTTAAGAGCAAATAAAACAAAGGTCTTGACAAAGGATTTTTAGTTCATCCTGTCTTCATCCTGGCTTCCTACAGCAAGGTAAGTATACATGGAATAGACATGAAGTCTTCAATGCAGAGTCCAAATAATAGCAAACTCAACACGGATCGC